CTCCCCACCGTGGCTGAATGCGTGGTCGAGGGCGGCTGCGTCATCCGCGTAGTGCTTCACGAGCTCCAGGTATGAGTCATCGTGCAGCAGGGCGATGTCTGTGGTCAGCATGGTCAGCTGGGGGGGCTCCTCCCCACGCTGGGCGGCCACGCTGCCAGCCTTGTGCTTGGGGCGCCACTGCCTGCAGGTGGGGGGGGGGAATGCAGCAGTGGGATGGGGTGTAGCGGATGGGGGGGCGTCATGTGCAGGTCGAAGTGGTTGTGGTTCACCCCTCATATGAATACATCACTCCTGCCTGCAATTGCGTAGTCCCATAACGTGGAGTGCAGCAGCGCAGCAGTTGCACCCAAGACAGCAGCACAACAAGCTGGCAAAATCAGTGGGTGACGTCATCGTGACACACACCAGTGGCCCCCGGGGCCCTTCCAGGACTCCCAGTCGTAGGCCAGCAGGTTCTTGAAGTACTCGTTGGACCTGGAGGGTTGTTTCAAAAAGGGAGGGTGCGGGAACAACAGCTATCAGGTTGAGCGTTCACAGGGCCGTTCCGCTCACAATCAGCGGATAGGGAGAGGGGGAGACCACGACTCGCAGAACAATCACCCAAGTAGCCGCAAGCAGGGCTGCTTCATGCCTTGTTCAGCCCAGCCGCCGGCTTCAAGGCGCGCGGGCGCGGCGTTGCTGTTGCAGCCGCTGCTCACCACTTCCAGGGGGTGGTGGTCCAGTGGCCCTGCGTGAGGCGTGACGCGGGTCAGCACGAGTGTTTGTGACAAGGGGTCGTTAAAAAGGTTAGAAACATGAGCATGCCCAGGATGGCGGGCGGTGTGTTTTGCACAGCAAAACGGGGGACAAGGCCGAAACCCACAGAAACAGCCCAGCTTATCCCGCTGCCCAAGCTCCGCCCTGGCAGGGGTTTGCACGGATGGGGGGGAGGTGTGCGCCTGTCAAGGGGCCCCCCGCCGCACCTCGAGGCCGGAGGTGAACGTGTTGGGGCCCTTGCCCTTCTCCGGGCCCTCCCCGCACGTCCCCGGCCAGGGGTTGCCGGGGTCCTCCGCGGGGGAGGGGCCAGCACCGGTGGGGCAGGCGCCTGCGGGGTGACGGCGGCGGGGGTGGGGG